ATCTAAGCGTGCAATGCGCATTTACCGAGTCGTAAGTGTTTTCCAAGTGGATGTTGAAGTTCCGCTATGTTCCGAGTTAAAGATAAATGATGCTCGTCGTCGCGACGGGTGCCAACGATACTTCGTAGTTTAACACCGAGAACGTGCCGTTCGAGCAGGCCTATAGAATTTTGATAGCGAACCAGACACGAAGCTCTGTCCCAAGAATAATTTAAATCAAATAAATCCTGTTCCAGATACTCCTAGAATGCATGTAACAAAAAAGGAAAGACATGCAACGAGGTTAGAGAAAAGTTTAGTAAGTGATGAACTTTAAACGAGTTTCATTCTATGTTTACTTTATATTTTTTTTTAATGAATCGTCTATAGGATGAAGATTAGGAGCGTGAGAAATTTACACGGAAGAATAGAAACTTGGAATGCTGTGCAGAGATAGTGTCGCGTGAAATTCTATTTATAATTATTCAATACATGTTATCGCTTTACTATTCTTGACTGAATACGATATAAGTTCCTTGTCAATCACCGAAATAGATAGGCACTTCGTAGATACCTCGTGTAACTTCCGAGTATGCATCAAGCATGTTGCCGCACATGTTCTTCCTACTATTATTCTACGTGGAAAAGATTGCGCTATTACGTTCCAAATTGGGATTTCATGACTCGGTGCTAATTAAATTTTCTCGATTGAACCCGAATTCGGGGAACTCATATAGATTATGATTAGACTCTAACAGAGAAGGGAGGATATTCTTAACACAGAACCTACCGACACTTCATGTATACATTCCTACCAGGACTATTCATTTTCAATTATATAAACAATTTTATAATCCAACTTCGTCGTAGACCAGTCGTATAATCAATAGGAATTGCTGAAACCTCTTTGGGTATGTAGCGTCAAAGTAAATGTGAAAATAAAGATAGAAGACAACATAAATAATAATAGTTGATATGCTCATCGAATAGGGGATGAAATACCCTTTAAAATGAGCGCTTGTACGAGTCGATAGCTTTATTAGTTCCGGAGATATGAGAAATTTAATTTCAAGTCCCAAGCGTTTGTTTACGTTTCACTGACGCGAGGCGAATGAACTCGCGCGCGTGACAATAGTAAACAGTGTCTCGACTCACGTGCGAGAGAGAGGACGACACGTTAGACGAAGACAGAGACTGTCGAATTAAAAAAATTATCCCTTTACATAAACTCTGATATCTCCAAAACGGAAAGTCGAATCGACAAAAACCAAAAACTATTTTAAATAGTTTCGAAACTGCGCGCGTGTAAATTTAACTATTTTTAATACGCGTTGTTAGATCGTTTATAACCAGAATTTGATGCCAATTTTTGTTTAGTTTTTTACAAATAAATATAAATTGTTCAACCAGTTATTTGGCCGGTCGTGGTAGGTTTAGAGAGTAAAAGTTCGAGAAAGATGGAAAGAGCCGTAAAAAAAATTGAACAGAATAAAATCAGGATATATAATAATATTAAATAATCTGTGAATATTCTAAATCTATGGTTACGTTAATATGGAAACAAATACACGACGTGTATGAAATATTTCATAAATTAATATAATCAGATCAATATTTCATTTTGCATAAGTGCGTGTATTCTGCATACGTTTTGCATACGTTTTTCGTATTTGCATACGTCATAAATACGTGAAATCCGCGGTCTAATAAATACATTTGAATCGAAAAAGGTCATGGTTGAGCTGATTTTCACGAAGAAAGCCTCGATAATCCATCGGCAATATTGCAATGTCGATGTAATTTATAATATAAAAATTTAAATTTTCGCTAGTGGACGAAATTGTTATTTTTTATTTGCTGTGGTTAATAGGTTGCAGTGTAGTAGGCTACTTGTTGTTGTGAAATTGTTGAATATTAGGTCGTGTAAAGTTGTAATTATTCCGATACGGTGAACTTAACTGCGAAGCAACGTTAGGGGCGCTCGAACGGAGCGATTCAAATCTGCTGAACGGCAAACAAAAGCGTAAAGGATCAGAAGTTCGGTTTCCAGGGCCGCAGCAATCCGAACGGAGTTGGAGAAAGGGTTAAATGTCGTAACGAGTTCAATCGTATGCTGGCAAGACGGTGTACTGCATGTTCGCAGATCGCTTGGCATAGTCAGGGATTCGAATTTAATCCGGATTAGTTCGTAAGGGTCACAATATCCTGCCCTCTTCGTGCTCGCCCCTTACATGCAGGCACACAGAGACTCTCGAATCTCGTACAGGTAAATCCGAAACACATGCACACCCACCCCATTATCCTAAGTCGCAATTGTCGTACTTTCAAGGCAACCGAGAAGAAGATTTTCCAAATCCAACCCCCGTTTTCTCTATGTCCAAGGGCAATGGACACTTTAAACAAATTTACAAAAATCAAAAACATTTTTTAATTAACGTTCCGGCTTCAAAATCTTTGTGATGGGAGTCTCCACAAAAAAGAAAGGAAAATTTCTGCTTTCGAAATACGCGATTTTATATTTCATCAAACTTAAGGTGAAAATATATTAAAAAAGCAATGATTAACGTTACTACGTATAATTTTGCTTGGTCTTTCATTGTTTAACAATTCGAGGAGGGTTCGTATTTGAACCGGTACCCAAAGGATGAGTTTCTGCTTCCAAGGACAAAAATTTCTCTGAAACGTCCTCGAACGTCTCCAAATAATCGTCGTGTCTTTCAGAAGCGGCTAGTTACGAAATTGTTCTGGCTGGTCGCACGCGAACAGTTTTTCTCGTCGATTTTAAGGTTTCGCGGAATTTCGAGGGTCTTAAAAAATCGAAGACGACAGGGACGGTCGAGATAAGGAGGGACGGAGAGGCGGGAAAAGGAGCCGCGTGCTCAAGGTCGAGAATTAGTCCTGACGGGCGGAAGATTTAAGGAGAATCCTTCGGAATCCGTAGATTTAGGAAGTGCGTGCCTCCGCCTCTTCTCACCTCTTCGCCTTCCTTTCCCCTTCGTCATTCGAAATTCGAGAGGCAAATATGTACTTTTGCTCCCTGCATGTCGACGTTAGTCGCTTTCTTCCATAAAGTCACGACCATCGAAACTCCAATAAGATAACGAACAGTTGTCGAATCCGTATTAAAATTTACCTTACAGCGTTGTTATACCTTTATAACAAAATGTATCTAAATTTCCAAATTTCCAATGCAACCATTATGACGAAAATCAAGTCAATTTTCCTTTTTTAATTCGACGCTGTCATCTTCTTCCAGATAATTCTAGAAACAAACTCGTTTCCACGAAACGGTTGAATGTTTACAAAGGGTGTTCGATGCTCGAGTATTCAAATTCTATTTGTTCGAGAGACCAGGGAACCTTTCAAATACTCATCGTAGTTTCTCAAGTTAGAATCTCGTGGAAAGAATTTTTTACTCGGGTGAAACTGTGGGAAAAATCTGTCGTTACGTTCCATTTGCTCTTCACGGTGTTACGACGCGAGTAAGACGAATTTTTTTTATGAAAGATTGAGATTTTTATGGGACGAGGAAACGTAGTGTTCGATAGTATCCAGAAAAAGTAAAAAATGGTAGGTAAATTTTGATCAAACAAGATCGATACGTCTCGAAGTCGCACGCGTTTACTCTGGTTTTCATTCGCCCTGGCAAATGGACGCGTGCAAATTGTTTCCACCGCATTATCGAGGATCAAGGAAATTCCGCCGATAGTCTATCTCGTTTACGAGCTTTAACGACCCCTCCGTGCGACCTCCGGCGTCTACGCACGCGGACTCTTGGCCGTCCTCGACGGAAACTCGCGTTACGTACACGGAATCCAAGTCTGTGTTTCGTGTGTTCCGTGCATTAACGGTTCCACTCTTCTTCAAACACTGTCGCCGGATTATTTTTAATGTTCTCAAACGACGCGTACAAATAACAGAAAGAGATCCTTAACCATGATAAAATGTTTAAATACTCGCACCTAATTAAAAGAAATAATTTTTTAAGGCACAAATATTACGTAGAGGCGAATATTCGAAATTGCGTTCGTTTTCTTGAAATTAATTTCCAAAGAGGACTTTATTCATGATTCACGAAAAACGTGCAGCTGTCAGAGTGTTCAGATTCTACATACAACGTTACAAAACTCATAAATATTATTTGCTAGATGACCAATTAAAAGAGAACCCCTATCTTGTAAACGTAATGTTAAATTGAAGTAAATTGAAAGCGTCAACGCGGGGTTGTCGTCGAAATTAGGTACCGTTACCTTAATCGGCTGGAATCGCTATTGCAGGATGCATCAGCGTGACACATCGGTGGGTCATCTAGACTGCATTTGCCGAGCGTTGATAATCCCGAGTCGGGTTCATGACGCAAACACGTTAAAGTTGTTTTCGCACGGCCCGACATCGTAAGGGTGACTTAATTCGCTCGGCGCCGAAGATTTACGGCCGGGGGCACAAACACGTGAGCGATTCTACGAGATTCGGGATAATGGGGCGAGTAATGTTCTCGTGGAAAATGCAGGTGAAACGAAAAACGAGCGGAAGAAAGAAAAAAAGGGGTCCGTTGGAACGCGGGACGAGATCCCGGCGAAACGATTTGTTTAAACGAACGGCGCTAATGCGCGTATCTTTGGAAACACGGGCACTTGTTGCGTGCTGGAATAATAGTTCGCCTGATGTTCGTAGCAATTAAGAAGCTCTCATTCTTTGATTTAAGAAACGGGCGGAGTTCAGACCTGGACGATATTTATTTCAGTTTTTTAATGCGTCTCGATTGGTCTTAGGTTCTTCGTTCGTTCGTACCAAAGAGGACAAGTCTAATCGACCATCTGATATTCGTTTGACACTCTGTAGAGAAAAACAATGAGAAAATATGGGAGTCTGTAGCAGCCGTATCGGTTGGATCCTTTTTCCAGTTTTGCATCGACTGTTGTTCGAAGAGCATGGCGGAACGATTCCCTCGTCTTTCATTCGTTCCGGCAATTTAATATTCATCGAGTCACAGAAGATGAAAAATAAAAGTTGAAACTCACCCGTGCTGGAGGCGGACTTGCTGAGATCGAATCCTTCCTGCTTGGGGCTGGTGTTCGCTTCTTGTTTCGGGTGCTGATTGTGCGCGGAAAATGGCGTGTGGGGCGCGCTCAGAGTCGTCTGGGATTGATGAGGATGCACCGACGGATGCTGAACAGTATTCTGCGGCTGGGACTGTTGGGATTGATGCGACTGGGGGCTCCTCGGTAACGAGGACACGCTGCTAGGCCTCGAAGGTGGAGAGGCCTTGTGCGTCAATGCCAAAGCTTGGCTCTGTAACAGTTTCAACATTTTATTTAATACACCTCATACGTGCAATTTTCCCCAATTGGACGCGACGTTCGTCTTCTGGTTGCAAAATATCGCATACAATCGTAGACAAGAGGATAAGGCGCCTCAAGATTACCAACGAATAAAATAAGTCGCCCAGTCTGTTTGTTATTTATACCAAAAAAAAAGTGGAAATTAGCGTGGACAAAATGTCTCAACATTTGGAATGCAAGCTAACAGAAGTATTGGAATTAAATAAAATTGCATGGTTTTTATAAATTTTCTCAATATTAATCTTTGTTCCTTAAGTTGTTCACTTTTGACGTTTTAAAAAAAATTTGAATAATAATTCAAGGTGAAATTTCATCCATTTAATAATTTTGAATTTCGGCTCGCGTGATTACCTCACCGGCGACCGGGATGTTAATCTAACTTAACGTAGCCTAATCTAACATAATCGTTGGATTAAGTTAGGTCAGGTTAGATTAATATCCGAACCGCCGTGAGATAGACGGTATCCAAGACGAAATTCAAAATCATTACCTGTATGTTAACTCATTTCAAATGTTCAAAATATGATATGTAACATAGAAAATATTTTTTTAATAAGTCAAAAACTAAAGCCAACCGACTTTAAAATAATATTTCAATGTTTACATACTACGTTTCACTTCTTCAAGAAAATGGTTCTTCTTTATTCGCGAACAATAAGGATAATTCGCGCCATAACCTAGCAATACGAAGTGTTATTTTGGCCGCCAGCAACGGAAAACAAGAAAACATCGTATGAATTATAATAGAACCGCGTACGCCTCACTACCAAATGCAAAGTATGTCAAGGATTTTCAGTGCAGATTAAGGACAACCCTGGATTTGTATTATTCCTGCGGAGATTACCGCGCGCGCGGTTTTTCGCGTCTTACGAACGAGCAGTAAAATAAGAATAAAAATCCCCATTGTGTTTATTATTCTGGAAAGAGTACCGTGAAGGATTCTTAAGAAAGCACACGTTTCCGCGTAAACGTGCTCAACGTCAGTATTTCTAATTTAACTAGCCAGCATATCTAAACTAATCGAAATTACAGTTACATTAACCGCAAAGACGTCATACGGACTTGGGTATGGTGAATAGCGAAGTGTGCATCGGCTGAAATCGTGAAAGAGAGGAAAGAAACAGTGTAAGAGTGAAAGTAGGTTGAAAAGGTTTAAGGGAAGGCAAGAATATTTAACCACAAAAAAGAATAGAAATAGAGGAAATAGTGATAGGATCTAAGTCAGGTTAAATTGCCAAAGGCAAACAGCCGGTGAAACGTACAAAGATTTCATACCTTTGAAAGAAAATAATAGACGTTGAAGATACGTCTTTGTCGAGTAATAAATAATTTAAGAGTTTTGTAGCATCGATGCTTACTAATGAAGATGTCTAATTGTTTAAGCCTCGAAAACCTTAATTCGGCCCTGACCGTTGGCAATCATCCTCCGCGCGGAATAGGAAATCAAGTAAATAAAGTAGAATCTCCCAGTCGATTGTCCGCGTTTAAGAATAGACGTAAAGAGAACAACGTAATGATTTCATCGTTAATACCGATGAGCGTTATACTGTCTGAACATAGTCGAATCTGCGACGATTCGGTCGTATCGAACGAGCCGGATGATCTAAGCGTTGTCGCCGATGAAATCTGAACACGTGCTCAATTCCGACAGCGGCCTGCTAAGACATAAGCGCGGACTTAGATTTATGTATGAGTGAACTGAACTTAACACTAACGGCTAAGCCGTTCACGGTGTTAACGAGGGTCAAGTGGGCCCAGAATGCGACAATCCTACACTACACGACCAAAGTGCGAAATGCACCGCGCCGGTTTTCGTCGTCTGGAAACTGGATCGTCGATGACGCTTCCGTGGAACTGGCCAACAGCCTTTTCCTAGATACACCGAACATTATTGTCCCCTTTTAACACACGTCTGTCTATCTCGCTCCAAATATATTCGGGTCACAAAATTACATGAAAATAAGACACGGTACAAATTAATTTCGCAACTGTTTTGATTTAGTAAGGTACTTGATTTACTAGTGGGGAAATAAGGTTTCTTCGTATGGTTCCATTGAGGAGCCATGAAATTCATGATTTGATCCCAAATTTATTTTGAGTAATTAATTTTAGTTCATATATATTTCCCCAAATATTGTTATTGATAAATACGCAAGGAAAAAACAAGCTTTGCATCCATTTAAATCGATCTTGTCGAGTATCCTTGAAAATAAATATTTATATTAAAATTGTTTATTCAATATAGAGAGGTATAGAGATTTCAATAGATACATTAAAGATTTTCGTATTATTTCAAGTATAAATTAATCGATGATATCCATTAATTGATTAAGCAACGCGGACCATGAAGTACTTGTAAATATAGATCATGAAATTTTGCTACTTCATTGCGAATAGTATTTTGCTTTTTTCTAGATTAACAGATCCAGCTTTAGATAAGATTATGCGAAATCATGAAAAATCTACGATCTGATAAAAACTTAAGTCAACACTTTTTAATCGTATAATTTCTAAAGAGTTTGCGTGTTCCCAAGCGAATTATTCGGATCGAATTCATTCAATTTATACATATACAGCGATTCTTTGTACAATCAACCAATACGTATGATTATTTTAAAATTAATCATAATTTTAACGCGTTACCATGTGATTGTTTTTTATTTTTAATAAAACATTCGCTTTCTAACGCCGATCGTTTTATAATATTCATTATAAGAAACATGAAATGAATATCAAATGACAGAATCGACAGATGATAAAACGAAATTTAATTATTCTTTAAAATCTCGATTATATAATACTGGTCTAAAGCGTTCATGATTCCAAAAACGATTCAAACGCGGCACGCGATACAAAAAAAGATAATTTTACGAAGATATTTGTTTCGAACAAAACACGCGCCGTGGTAGTTAAACAGGATTGGGTGGCCAAAAGTGTAAGACAAGGCAATTATCGAATTTTTGTAGAGTTCGACGTTCACGAACGTCACATTGTACGATAACGTCATTAATAGATTAGCATTATTCGCGTTAAAACGTCGCCGGATTATCCGAATATCTAGCCCACGGATTAATTCGGATAATCAAGATTTCACCGTATTTAGCGATTCATTTCTATAAATAACACTACGCGTTTCCATTTTGATGCCAATATTATGCGCGAACGCGCACATTATCAGTTCCGTACCAAATGCATTCCGATGAAAGTTAGTCTAGATCGGGAATGATTAATTCTCGTGGCTAGCTCCTCCGCTAGAAAGGCATTTATTATTTTTCTAAGTACAATTTTCAAACAAAACATTTTCGACTAACAGAGGTATACGTAATTTGCCTATAAACTTATACGATTTGGTAATCAATAAGATACAGAAATAAATCATCGATTTCGTTAATTAAATCATTTTCGTCTCTAGCGTATACTTATTTCTCGGGGTCTTCGTTAATCGTTTATCGAATCGTCGATTGTTTAATCGTAGAGAATGATTTGTGTCCTTCATCGAAACGATCGATTTAACCTCCGAATAACGAGCGGATTTTGGCCGAAATATTCGACGATCGTCGATCGACACGGAGAGAATCGAGCTCGGGTCGGTGATTTTTTCACTGGTCCGGACTGTACCGGGGTACCAGCTACTGTTTCGGGAGCTGCTTCAAGGTATGCACTCGCAAAAAACACGTCAGACTGCTGAAGACCCAGGCTCGGGAGCAACAGCGAGCGAGAACCAGCGGCGAAGAAAGAGGACCGACCGGAGTATGGGGACGTGGAAGAGGAAAGCACGACGAGGATGAGGATCGAGCGACGGACGAGGGAGGAGGACGAGGATACTGACACCGGCGTATAAAGAAGCGGACGATGGGAGGAAGCCGTGGCCCTAAGGTAAGCGTGAATTGGAAGAGGATGACGGGTCCTTGGCTCGCTTCCACGCGAGGAATGAGGATGAACGCGAGCCTGCAAGCAGGAACGCATAAGAAGGGGCAACAGGTGGATGGGGTTAGCGGCTTATCCGGCTAACGCCCCAAGTGATATCGCGGTAACTTCGACGCGATGCGAAAAGGGGATGCACCGATCTGCCGGCGAAGCTGCTCCTCGCGTTGCTTCTCCTTTTCCTGCTATTTTCGAACCGGCAAAAACCACGGCTACAACTATTCCGATGTTCTATACAGGGCCACTTCGACAATCGCCTTTACCTGGGAATAAATTACTAGAAATTCACGAGGAATAATTCAATTCTATACGTTGCACGAGATTATCATCGACTTGCAAATTCTTTAGCTTCGATGTGGCTTTATGGCCTAAGCAGCGAAAATATGAATCGTTTGTATTTTAGTTATAGGGTAACTTCGCCCAATAGCATGTGTTGTCTGTGATATCTTGACTATGCAACAAGTGAGAGAGAAATGAACAGTTTTTGGTTACTTTGAATATTTTTTTTGCTTGAGGGAAGACATGATTGTTTGGAACTGCATGATCATTGCTGATCTTATCCAACGCATCGAAGGTTTAAATATTAGTAGAAACGTTTCATTGCCATTTGTCGAAGATATATTGCCAACGGATTTATCAGGCCAACAACGATTACAAAACACGGCTAAAATTGTTACATAATATTTAGATAAGAAAATAAATTTGTTAAAATGACAGGAAATCCGAATTTAAATTCCATCGAGATAAATTGAATAGATATCGATTTATAAGACATGACAAGTTTAAAAATAGTTTCTAATGGTACGATTTATGCTATGTATCCTTTTGCATATTTGTAAAACACGATTCACCTTCTTTATATTAATCTTTGCACCAACACTTTTGAACACTTGCCTCGCAGGCATCTTGGAATTTGATGCTGGTCTCGATATTGCACGTTTATTGCGAGCAATTAAACTTTATGGATGCCCAGGACTCTCTTCTACCGCGATTTTCAGGACTTTTTGCGGATATCTGTACTCTGGG